TCCCGGTTTCACGAAAAGAAGGGCTTGGAAAAGAACGGGGGCAACTGGCACTCAGCCCGCCTTTTGCGTCTTCACTGGACTCCGATGTCACCGGACACTCCAAATTCATCTGGAAACCTGACCTTTCCGCGCTGTCCTAAACTACGCCAGGGTGAAAGTCAACGGCACAATTCTCTTTCTGTCGGTAACTTAGGGAGGTGAAAACTTCATTTGAGGGCGAGTTGTGCCATCTACTTTCACCAAACCGTAAACTGTACCCTACCAACAAACCTAAGGAACCCTCATATTTTTCTAGCAATCTTCCCGGTCCAGCATTTGCGCCAGTCAGCCAGAGGTGGACGCGATCTAATTCCCGCGATGCCGGTCCTGGGACCAAAGGATCCCAACGAATGAGGCGATCCGATTACGTTGAGTGCGTGTGGCTCAAAGTGTTCAACAGCTGGGGCACACCGCTGGTTTTAGTCTAGTATTCATCCAACTCGGGGGGCCATTTTAGGGATGCATGTTTTTGACCTGGTTACCCAGAAAACCCTGTCTTCCGATCGAGTGGATTGACCAGACAAAGTCACCAAACTTTTGCTTTGCCACCAAATGGAGTCATAATCCAAACTTGCTGGCATAAAAATGGTCGGGACCCAGAACCATGCTTGCAAGAAAAAAAACGGCGGAGGCACCCATTTGTGGTTGGCTGTCCCTGTCATCTACCTGATTCGGTTTTGCTGTCCGTCCCCGAAGCGTGTTCTAACATGTCCTAACCACAGTTCCGTATAGGACCCTACTACCCATTAAAAGGGGCAACAGCCCCATCTCTGGGGGGGGGAAATTTGAGGGTCCAGGTACACTTTACTTACAAGGTCTGCCTCCTTTAGTACCCCAAACAGGGAACCCGGACCCTCCCAAAAATCCAACTTAAAAATGGCGATGGCCCCATAATTGTGGTTGGTGAACACAATTCCCTTGCTTGAGGGTCACCCTCCCAATGATGGTTGGTGGGTTTCTCTTTCTTTTTAGTTTAAGAGTGACAGGCGGTTTCAAGCTCTTTCTTCAGGTTACTGTAGGCTCTTGGACCCGTTATTGGGAAATCTGGGCACACCCTCCGGCGCTTACGGGATCCTTTCGCGGGTTCGGCGGTACCATGGCCCGATTTGGCTGTGGTTGTCAAAACCAATGGGATCCCATTTTGGGCTAGGTGCAGCACCCATTTTAGAACCTATAGTGGGGATTGGGATGTTCACTGGGGGGACGACAAAAAAAAAAAGGTCCGATTCCTACAAGAAGACATACCAGTTCTGTTTGGGACAGTGTAACCTTCAGTTGCCCGGCGAGCAAGTGGCTGAGTTGCTTGAAAGCGCTCGCCAACCCCAGGGAAGGATCTTGGACAACCCTTACAGCGCTTTTTAGACATTCATGGACGTTCAACAAGGCGACTTCATGTCAGTTTGTTTCTTTTGGGGGGAGCCTTCAAGTTGCCACGAGAAAAAAACATATTGAAGCTGGTTTACTTCATAAGGATGTTTGGTTGTAGAGTTCTGTATCACGAAACATGGAATGCCGAAGACTTCATTTGGGAGGACTGGGGCCCACCGAGTCCTAGCTTCCCGTGTCAACCAGACAGGTCCTCACTCCAAAAGCAATTGCCGCCAAACAAGCAGGTCTATCTCTCTCTCAGGCCACCTTCTTTGTGTGGCTTCTTCAAATGAGAAACTACCAGAAAACCCGCAACTCTTGGTTTCTTGGTGGCGGGACAAAGCCGCTTTTTGCAGACCCAAAACTCAACAAAACCCGAAGCCCTGAAGCCCCGAAGGCGGCAAAGCAAGACGTTCTCTTTGCCTCTGAAATGGTCCAACCCCAAAAGTGACGGAAGTCCAGGATCCAAGGGTTTCTGAGTACTGGGACGCCCTCTTGGGAATCGCACCATTCTACCAGCTCAAACCTGGCTATGTCCCAGAGGGTCCCTTGGTACCTAAGGAGGTACTGAACGACCCCTTCATCCCCCAAAAGCCATCCTCATGAGGTACCAAGGGACCCTCTGGGTGTGGGTGTTTTTGGGATGATCTGATGTTGGGTAATGTCCCTGTGTACTCCCAACCCATCGATTCTGACATCTTTGCCATGGGCCCAGGCCGCGCCTTAAAGTTGACACCTCGGCCGTGAGCCCAGAGAGGGGCCAAAAAGAGAAACCAAGTGCGATCCATTTTGGCCGGGGATTTTCCTTAAATCCCTGGTTTTCTCACACAGTGTCCATATTTTGGCAAGCCAGAATCTGAAAAATGTTGGAACTTGATTAGTCAACCACCCCCCCAAGGTCGACCAGTTTTGGGAAAACCGGGCATCGTTCATGAGAGGGGTTTCATTAATAAAGTTCTAACATTACTACCGTACCCAAATCATGTGAAAGAATCTCAAGAGCATTCGACCGCGCCGATTCGTTTTTGGGATGGCCCCTTCGTTCACCTGCCCCAGTCCGACTTGGACAGCTGCCCTTTGGATGTGGACCTCCCACGTGAATAAACTGGGACTTAGATGCCCAGTGGCCATGGGAAGAAAGGGCACCCTTTTTTTGTTGGTTGAGTTTAAAGGGGAACCCTTATCCAAAAAAGGATAAGAAAAAAAAAGAGCACCACTGGGCAAGAGAGGGGAGTTGAGGACAAGTAGCCGGACCATATGTTCCGCACATTGCTTAAAGTGTTCAAACTCCTCCGGGCGAACGCACCTTCGAAGGCCTTGTTGACTGCGCTTCAAACCTCTTGGATTCTCCGGGTGGTTTATCCCCAGTGATCCGGGTTCCTTCTAAATGGGTTGCTCCCCATGAATCAACCAGGGGTGTATTTTGGAACTCTAGAGAAACCGAGCCATGTAAGGCCTGGCACTCACTGAGCCTTCCGTTTTTCGGATCCCAAAACTGGTCCTGATGGCTTTAATATGGCAGAAAGAACCTTCATGGCTTCAACATGGGGCTTGCTCCAAAGGTCGTTTACATGGGATGATCATTGGGGGACTCCCACATTTGGGAGAAGTTACAAATGGTCAAAGCTGGGGACCCAAACTTTTTCGCTTGGAATTTGGCCGCTGAGGTTTCTGGAGCCTTGGTAACACCTCGACTCCACCAAATCCTACGCCAGGGAGCCCCTTCGTCGATTTGTCTCCTTCTGCTTTATCAACACGGATTTTCCGAAAGACCCAAATCGGCTGGAATCCTTTAGGTCTAACCCCGTGGATCCAGGCAAGCCACTACAGCAGCTAACCAGCAAATGTCCTCGTGGCTTGCAAAGGCTGGCACGCCCTTGGTTACCTAGTATACACTCACTTCCTGCGTGAATTGGAAAAAAACAAGTCGAAACTTTTTTTGTTGTCGCAAAAATGGCCCAAGCCCAAAAAGCTTAATGTCCAGGAACTTGGAGTTTTTGTACAGGATCATTGGCAATCATTGGGTACAAACTGGGGATTCCGCTCTTCACACAATGGCAGGAATAAGGAGCCCACGCCCATCCTCGTCCCAATCGTTGCCATCCAATTTCTGCCCAGGCACCCACAAACCCCATGAAGCCTCTGGGCTTTACCTTGAAACGATCGGATTCCAATCCCAGTTTGCCATAGTAGGCATCCCTTCGATTGTTAAACAAAAAGCAGGCTTAGATGGCTGTGGGTCAAAAATTGGTGCCCAAAATGGAACACGGGTAATTGGACACATGGACTAAAACCTGTGGTCTGCTGGTGGTTTAAATTTGGACCCATAGCCACATCCTTCTCTTTACGTGGGTTTTACATGACTAGGTCCTCCAGTGGAGAGGTTAGAATAAGGGTACCAACTTTTTCCTGTAGTCTATTTTTGTAGGGGAATCCTCCCAACCAAAGGGGTGAGAATGGGCACTGGGGGGCCTAGATGTTTTCCCCCCGGTCACGTCTCTACAGCACTGGTTTCCCATTTCGAAGGCTCCAGGTCTGTCGCTTGTTTAAGGGTAGCCCGCTTTGGTACGGGCTAAAGGGACACCACATGGAAAACAACCGATCGATGTTGTTCTGTTTGATTTGTTTGTGTCTTCTTTTGTTTTTTGTGTTTTTTTTTTGGGGGGGGTCCCTCGAAAAAATGGGTGGGCAAATTTAGGGATACGACCATATACGACTAGGGTACGGCTCTGCAATCCTTCCTCGTGTGCTTCGAAGACCCCCGCGACCCGTAGAAATTGGACCGAGGAAGCTAAACGATACCCTTTACATATTTTCTGGGCGTCTTTTTTGAGGGTAACCCCCCCCAAAAAAGAAACAACAACAACATTCTGATTTCCTTCTTTGGTCTCAAAAAAACCGCAAAGAAGGGTACCAACTCAAAACAAAACAAAAAAACACTACCCATGTTGGGCTTGACCACACTAAGCCTCGTGGGTTGATGGCGTCCTTGAGGGACTTTCTGAGCCGATGGCCCAAAACGCAGGCTTCGGTGCCCCCCACTCAAAACTCGCCACATACCCAGCGTAGCCAGGGAATGCGTGAGGCTTGTTTGGACACCCCTTAGGGGAAACGCATGCCTCCATTTTTCTTTTTTAAGTCTTCCCCCCTGGAGAAATTCATGCCTCCAAATGTTGTTTTTAAATCTCCCCGCCCAGGGAAAAAAAGCAACACATATTTCGCAGTAGCCATAGAGTCCCTTGCAAAAACCAACGGGGGGAAATCGAAGACGCGCTCTTCAGGAACCGGGTTGCAAGTTCCTCGTGTAACGCCCAAGGCACCCTGTGAGCAACGCAACCCCCGCATGTGGCTTCCGGAGCGGGGCAAGAGCCGTGTTCTTTGGGCTCGTTTTGGTTGCGGCCAATTGGGTGACCTCTTCACTTGGGCTCTAAGAAATGGGTTCCTTTCAGATGGGAGCAACGCATGATTGTCGCAGCCTGGAACACGTCTATTTGGCCCCGTCGAGCGGGTCGCCTGAGTCTTCACGAGAAATGGCTGAGCTGCGCCTTGCAATGGAGGATCCTGAACTTGCCACGGCGCAGGAAGAAGGATGCTCAGGCGGGCAAAAGCCTTCGGCCGTACCGGGACTTTTCCAAGAAAGGCACCGCCTGAAGCGCGGTATTCGACACGCGGGCGAGGTTCTCCAGTAAAGAGGATAGAATAAGGGTACCCACTTTTTTCTGCGGTCCATTTTAGTAGGGGAACCCTCCCAACCAAAAAAGTTGGTCAAAAGACCAAAGGGGACCTAGCGGGCGATCTGTGAGCCAAGCCTGGCAATGCTTCTCCCGGCGAGGTGCGGCAAGCTGTGAGGGAAGAAACACAAACTGGAACTCCAATCTCAGAGGGCCTTGGTACCTCATGAGGGTGGCTTTTGGGGGTAAACAAAAGTCTAAGTACATCCTTAGAAGGTACCAAGGGACCCTCTCAACATGGACCGATCCCATCCTTTTCTGCCATAAACAAGTGGTACCAAGGCAGAACCAAAGGAATCGGTCCATTGGATGTCCAGAAAGCTGCCAGGTCCAAGATTGCAGATAACCCCATGAGCCAAAAAGTTGAACTGAACATTTCTGGGATTCTCGTTGCGGCGCTTTTCAGGCTTCCCCTTTTTTGGGCTTCAAGAGAAACCAACCGGAAACCATGCAACCACAGGGATCCAAGCTTTACCCCAGTGTAGGGTGTGTCTCCAAGTTCTGTGGGCGACCCCGATGTTTGGTGTCTGGGGAAGTTTCGTGAACTTAGTGGGAGACCCTTATTTCTCAAATCCAATCAAGTGGAATGGCCAGAAGAAGTCGCACTGCTTGTTTACCACCTAGGTCCTCCAGTAGAGAGGATAGAAAAAGGGTACCTTTTTTCTGTAGTCTATCTTAGTAGAGGGGAACCCTCCCTCAACAAGGGTAAAAGGGCACTACTGGGGGACCAACCCCCAAATGCTTTTGACTAAAATTGACGAGGAACTATGGGAGCGAGATGGACCTGTGTCCAACGACGGGTGGCTCCCGCGGAATTCCGATTTTGAGACAAAGCCTTAGACCCCTTTTTACCCCCCAACAGCCATCCTCATGAGGTACCAAGGGACCCTCTGGGCCAAGTTGGCATCGATCCGCAAATCGGAACTAGGTCCTCCAGTAGAGAGGCTAGAGTAAGGGTACCAACTTTTTTCTGTAGTCTATGTTAGCAGGAAAACCCTCCCAACCAAAGACGGGGTCAGAAAGGGCACCTAGCTGGGGGACCTAGGGAAAGGATCCGGATCTGAGCATAGGTGTCCTTTTGGGAAAATCGATGGCCCTGGTAGATAATTGAACCACCAGGCAAACCAGGAATCGCCCTCTATTTTTCAACCAAACCAACCAAGAAGGATACCTACTGTGGGACGAAATCCATTTCGCACCACCCAAGAAACCCTGGACTGGTCTGATTCCCTTAATACTACTTAATACCTTAACAAACCTGCTGGTTTCATTCAACCATGGTCCCATTTCGTGGTGCGAGAAGCGCATGGATTTCGCACCCAGCGCCTCGTTGAGTCTGGTTTGGAGCTCCGCCACCTCAGGCGCCTCAATGCTGGACATCTGCTGCAGGACCTGTCGTCGGCGGGGAGGTGGCGACGGGTCCGAGGTTTGGGTTTTGGGGTTCAAAAGAGACACCAAAAGGAAACCCGGAAGGTCCCTTGGTACCTCATGAGGATGGCTTTGGGGGGGGAAAAAGGGGTCGATCAGTACCTCCTCAGAAGGGACCAAAGGACCCTCTGCGAAAGCCAACAAATGTGGGATCCCCTAAAAAAGACACCATACAAACCTCCCTAACTGTCTTGCGAGAACCACAAGTTCAGTTTGACAGGGGTCCGATTCCCTGAAAAAGACGCCGAAGATCAGCAAACCCCGAATGTGTTCTGGGTTTAGGGTTTCCAATTCCCCTCTGGAACCAAGGGTTCAATTCCACAAACCAATCCAAACGACTATCTTGGGGTGGGTCTGGGGAAGAATCCAACCTCTTTAGCTCCCAGCCAGGGTGTCTTGGAAGAAATCGGCTTTTTGGGCTGGGTTTCCCTAAGCTTAGGGCGCCGGCTCATAATTTGAGAAGTGTGGTTTAAAGACATGTTTAACAGTTAAGGAGGATAGTTGTTCAAACCTTGGCGGGCAACCATACATTTCGATATCCATAGAAGGCATTTGGACCCTGGAAACCAGGGTTGCTGCTGTGTCTCACAACTAGGGATCGGCCCATGGGAATCCTGGTGAATGGAAAAGCTGTCCGGAACCTGACAGCCAACCAGACCATTGGAAGCTTTGAGACCTCCAAAAAATGATTGCTTAAGGCCTGAGCCTTCGGAGCCCAAGACCCGAAACATGATGAGGGCCTGAAGGACCCCCAAAGACCTGAAATGATGTGGTCCTGGGCCAACGAAACTTTTTTGTGGCCATTGAAAAGGGCAACCAAACCCGAACCGCGAGGGTCCAAGTACCTTCTAGGGAGGTACCTAGACCCCTTTTTACCCCCCCAAACTCCATCCTCCTGAGGTACTTGGACCCTCTGCGGGGGAAAGTGCTCTTCGGTCACCTATTTCTTTACCCACATGGTAACCGAAAAGCGACTCAGTTCGAGTTTCAGAACGAGTAAGGACAATTCCCACTATTCCTACTGCGGCCGGTTGCGAAATCCGCCTCTCGCACCACCGCTTCATGAAACCATGGTTGAATGAAACTTCTCACGGCTTCTTACGGTATTAACAGGGAAACCTCGGAATTCCCCATGCATGGTGTTTTACGGTACCTAGAGTCTCCATGAAAAATGGGATCATTACCCAAAAATTGAGGGGCCATGACCCCTTTCTCTAGGGGTCATGGAGACTTACCTGGATCGCCAGTTGCGATCGCTTTTCTCCATCCACTTTACCCCAAACACCAGCAACAGTGACTGAAAAAAAGCGATCGCAACTTGGCTATCCAGGTAGGTATTTTCGTTGATTGGCCTCGAAGATCCTAGGACACCCGTGGGTGTTTGTTCTGCGTCCGGTGCGCTCGGTGCGAGGACAAACCTCTGAGCTTCCGGGCCGCGCTGCCGCAGCGGCTACAGGCGATGTTCACCACCTGCGAAGCGCTCGGCTTTGGCTCGCAGCCCGGGACCCCCGCTGTGGTGGGACCTAGCGTCTCCCTGGAGTCTCCATGACCCCTTAAAACATTAGGGTCATTACCCAAAATAACGGGGTCATGGACCCATTTCTAAAGGGTCATGGAGAGTCTAGGTCCTAGGTACGTCTTCCGTTTGGATCCGAGCCGTGGATTCGCGGAGGAAAAAAATCGTCCGGTGCCTGCACCGCCTTGCTTCGCACGGCCTCCAGCAAAGCGCCGGCCACCAGCTGCCTCGAGGCGACAAATTATTCTAGGGGACACTTCCAACCATTCTTTCATGGCTACTGTGGGTGGACGAAATCCATTTCGCACCACTTTGAAACGATGGGAAACCATTGTTTGTTGGTATTTACAGGGGAATCATCATTCTAGGGTTTCTTGGGTGGTGCAGGATATCGTCCATCCACAGTATGGCGGGGGATGGCGGGGAACGGTGAGAGAGCGACCGCGTCTCCTAAATCTTGACAAGTGGACCAACCAGAAACCACAGTACATGGGGTACCTTCCAACCATGCTTTCCAGGGATCCTTCTTTCCGGAAAACTACCCCAGGGGAAACCGCTGGTTTTTAAAAGAACGATGGTTGCAAAATAATGGGGAATGAACCCCTATAATTTCGGTTGGTTGGGCGCCACGTAAATGGGTTGGAAGGATTCCCTACTAAAATAGACTACAGAAACAAATGGTAGCAACTTATTCTAACCTCTCTACTGGAGGACCTAGTCATGTAAAAACTTGGTAAAGAGAAGGATGTGGCTATGGGTCAAAATTAAACCACCGGGATATGGGCTACAGGTTTTAGTCCATGTTTCCATTTACCCGGGCAACCCATTTTGGGTACCGTTGACCCACGCCAAAGTCAGGACAAAGGCAGCAAACCACGGAACATTTCAGGCACTGACTAATTGCAAACTCATGGGATTCAGGCTACGTCAGGTAAGTGGTGAAAGGAACCATGGTGAAATAAATGCCATGACTAGTCTCCGTCCAGTGGGTTATGGTTGCAGTTACTAACCACTTCCTGAGTATCCGATCTCCCCTCTTGTTGACCGATTCAACTTGTTTCTGCCCAGTGGACCCATTGAAAAATCTGGCAAGGCAGAAGCAAGGGATCAGGGAGTCTGAGAATCTTTGAATCCCACGAAGTGAGTCTGATCCCATGGGTGAACCATAGACCTTCATGGGATTCGCAGACTCACCGACCCGATCGAGCGGATTGGCCAAACAACACTAAACATCTTGTTGAGGAATGTGGCCGATTTTCGTGGTTTTTTGGAAAACCCGACTTTCCCCCATTAAAACCCGGGGTTTCTTGCAGGTTCTACGGTTTCTTCGGTTTTTGGGTCTTACGCCACTAAATGATTTCCCAAAAAATGAAACCAAAGTCCAGGAACTCCCGGAGGGAGCGGATCCAGGTGATGGTTTCCATCAGGGGTAACTAGCCTGGAGTCTCCATGACAATAGGTCCATGAGTCCATGACCCCATTATTTAGGGTAATGACCCCCTTTTTTGAGGGTCATGGAGACTCTAGGAGCATGCAACCACCTCTTGTTGGCACTTCTTCTTATTCTTTTCTGGGGATACCCAGCTTTCCCGAAGCTTGGGGGTGGAAACCAATGAAACCAAAGGCAAGGAGATGGTGTCCCTTGTTTCGGGGGCTCGGGGACGTTTGTATGAAGCAAAAAAGGAGTCCATTCAGGGTCCAAGTTGCTTTGCAGGGCTTTTCGGGCAAAAGGGCGGTTATCAAATTTAGAGACCCCCAAAAATCATCCGGGCGGTTGTTGTTGCTGCGGTTCAGCCGCCCGGTCTCGTCCCCCTGCTCCAGCAGCTTGCGAATCAAATGTGAGCCGCTAGGGTTCATCCTCGGCTTCCGAGTCGGTCTGCATGGTGTTTCAATTTGTTCAGGGGTCATGTGCTATGTGCCTGGACCCGAAGAAATTACTAATAAACCTGGGATTCCCCGTGCCCCCCCAAAAAATATATATGTTGGGGCTATGACCAATTTTTGAGTAGAGAGAGAGAGAGATTTCTGCGGGTCCTGGTGTCCCTTTTTAAGGCATCCTATCCACTAATATGGAACTTGACTCAGGGGTCCTAGAACACAAGGTGAGTTCCATGTTAGTGGACATGTAGGTAAATTGGCCAAAAAAGGTATCTAAACTTGTTGTTTACCACCAAAATGGTCTTCCCAAAAAGCGTTCAAAGTCCAGGAACTCAGGGTTTGACCCATATGAGGGGGCTGTGGGGGGCTTGATGTCTTGTTCATTCCTTTCCACCGTGGTTCTTCTACAAGCTCCCTGGGATTTTGGTGGGTGTTCTTCTTGATCGACCATGGTGTCATTTTGGGGAGGGCAGTTTGGTGTTCAAGGCGCAGTGGTTTGTGGATCGCTTGCTGAACTCTTTGTGGGATGTGCCAAAACTCGGTTCCAAGTGGCTGGGGATGTCGGGTTGGTACATCCTCACAAGGTGGTGCGTCCCTATGGGGCAACTGAGACCGGGGGTCAAAATGTTGGACGAGTTTTGGGGGTTATCAAAGTCCGCTGGGGTCTTTTGAGGTTTGGACCCTTTTGGGTGTTGGAAGCTGATGGATAAACTACCATGAGTTTGGAATTTCTTTTAAGACACTCCCGTTCTTTGGTCAGGTGGTTCTCAGCCAGGGTTCCTTTGGGTGTCCCTTTAGGTGGGTTAAACCTCATTTCTTTGGCCGAATTGAGGTGAGTTGCCCTTGGTAGGCGCGGTACTTGGGAACATGTAGGCAATCCCATTCTCCAGCCAGGGACCCGTTGAACAGGTTCGGGATTCCCGATCGCTTGCACTTTAAAGAACCATTCGTGCATCCGAAAGCAACCAAGTTGTTAGAACCCATTTGTGTGTGTGTTTTTTTGTTACACTTTTTTGGGTATATAGTTTTGAAGGGAAGCCAAACTTTTTGTTGTGTGGGGGGGGGGGGGGTTACACTTTTTTCGGGTAGCTTTGAAGGGAGAGCCCAAGGGAAACCGGAAACCACCCATTTTGATCCATTTCGCAGGTCCAAGAATGGGTCATCCCAGGCTCCGCTTCCCAAGGGCAGGCGTGCACCGTTGGACCTTGAGCAAACGGATGCGGGCGCCTTCGCCTTCGCCCAAAGCCACAAAACAGCCATGCGGCCCAACTGAAACACTCGGCGGGCCCGGGCGGACTGTTGAACGCTTCGATCTTAGAGTTTAGAGGGCTTGATAATTATGACTTGAAATGGGAACCCAACACTGGGCTGTCCTCAGATCCCCTGTGACTAACTCGTGGGTGAAATTCGGAAGCTCCCAATTGATTCCAACTAGCAACAGCTAAAAAGCTCTGTTGAGCCGGGATGGCTGGGCTTGCCACCAAGAACCCCAGAGGGTCCAAGTAACTGAACGACCCCTTTTTGCCATCCTCATGAGGTACCAAAAAACCCTCTGGGTTTGGTTTCCCTTTAGAACCACCACACCAAGGGACCCTCTTGGGAACAATCGGACCACGAAAATCCCGCCGCTTCGCTCGCCCTCGCTCCGCTTCCTGCGGCCTCCCGGAAGCTTCGCCGAGGGGCGCCAGGTGCCCCGCCTGCGGCAGCAGCTGCCGCAGCAGCAGCTCCCGGCAGCTGGGGCCCCCGTACCTCGCGCTTGCGGCTTGCGCGGGCGGCGGCGCCTTTTTTTTTTCTCCGGCGCGGGACAGGCGTGGATTTTTGTGGTGCGACCCAAGTCGAAACGAATGGGTCTGGCAAAAAAAAAGAAAACGCCCCAGAACACGGGAGAGAATCACGAATTTGAGAAGGGAGGATTCGCTAATAGGAATTTGGAGCAAGAATTCTGGGTTTGTCCTTGTGGCTTCCTTTTAAACCAACCTGTAGACGATGCCCTCACAAAGAAAAAATAACATGGCTCTCCTGTGAGCTTGGTGTGGGTTTGACTTGCTTCTTGCTTGAGCGACGAAAGGGCCGTTCCAAACTCTGCGGCTATCGAATCATCGTTCAGGTCCGCGGAACTGCCTGGATCCGCCCATCTCACCGGGTGTCACTCTCGGAGAAACAGAGGCCTTTGCTTCTCAAGGGAAAGCAAACACCACACTTACCCTTCGAATGCCAAAAGAAGGCGCCTGGTCTTGTGTGTTCGTTGTTCTTTTGAACCAAACCCAACAGTAAACCCTGTAGCCCTCTCCCGAACCACCCATCTTGGTCAACCCCAACTCACACCCGATTCCAAGAGGACCCCCATATAAAAATCAAGGGGCACCTGCTCGTGGGGTTAAGGATTGGGTACCCATTTTGAGAAAAAAAGAAACCAATGGAAACATCCAGGCACTGGTAAATTATTAGAATCAACGTGCACCCAGCACCCTCGATTTTCAAACTCACTGTCCAACCTTGGTATGGCTTAGCACAAAGCACGCCTGTTTGTTGCAGCCCCTTTTCAAAAATGAACAAAACCCAGAAAACCAAAAACCTGAAAACCTGCCAAACACAGCTCAGATGCCCAGTGGCCATGTGAAAAAGGGAATTCGCGTTTGGTTGCTTGAGTTTGAAAGGAACCCTTTCCCAAGACAAAGTTAAAACAAGGGAGTGGTTGCGGCTGGGAGAGCAAAGCTAAGCCTGATCAGAATCAAGGAATCCGTTTGCTTAAGTCCCGTGGACAAAATGATAATTCCTGCGGTGATAGATTCCAGCTGAAACCAACAAGGGGGTTGTTAACAAAAACACACACACACACACACACACACACACACACACACACACACACACATTCATCCCAGCAAATGGAAGAAATGCTCACTTGCCCCAAAGGACCCAAAAATAAAAGGTTAACCGTTTGGGACCTTGATGAATGGACCAACTTGAAAAAAACATCTGGGTCTAAAGCAAATGGACGCGGGACTTGGGGGGGAGAGAAAAAAAAACAGATGGCCATGGGTCAAAACCCCGGTTAGCCCCCAGTGAACATCAACCAACCACTAAAATAGGTTCTAAAAATGGGTGGTGAATTCGCCTGTCCCAACATGGGATCTGATGGGTTTTGACCACGGCCAAATTTATCGATTTCGAGGAGCTCTACCAGCGTCTGCAGCACACGGCTGCCCGAAGGCGAGCGCGTCAGCCTCGGGGCCGCCTGCGAGAAATCGAGTCGATCGATCGAGGCCCTCGAACAGGTCTTTGAAGGCCTGGGAATCCCCCGGACGCTGGTTTGGCGTAAACCAACAGAAACAGGGAAGCACACGAACAACAGAAACAACTACCTGGAACCTCGAATTCAAATTGTGCTTTCTTATGGGAAGTGGGTCCAAGTAGGTTTGAGGTTCAAGAAGACTTTGAGTATTTGTTGTGGGGATTTAAAGGGCAACACTAGGGACCCAAATCCTTATTTTGACGTAATTCCTGAGCCTTACGGCTTGCAAGGATGCTGTAGCTTGCTCACACTTCAACACGGTGTCATACTGTGAGCTTTGAAGTTGGGCGGCATGATTAGAGTTAGGCCCAGTTTGCTTCACTTTGAACCTCTGGTAAAATGCAAAATGTATCCTAAGTCTACCCCAGGCTGGAAAATACAATCCTTTGGCAAACCCCTGGAAAATTGAAAACATATCCCATGCTGCTTTCGAACAGGGCAACCCTGCACAAACGCCCCCGCCCCTCCCAAGCATGCTACCTGACTGAGCCAGAAACCAGTATACTAAACCAATTCTAAACAGTACTGCTAGGCAGAGAGGTCCATTTTGCAAGTTCCCAAGATTGTTTGGGAGGGCGGCTGCATTGAAGGGGAACAAACAGCTCCGCTCAAAAAGCGCACCCACAGGACTGACAGCTTGCAACCCTCTGTATGAAACCCCCCCAAAGGGACATTTGCACAAGGCTGCGAAGGCTTGTGGAAAGCTGCGCAGGCTTGTTCAGACAGAGCAGGGCACGTGGCTAGGTCCGAATTTCAAGCAGCCAAATCAGCCAGGAGTGCCCAAATCAAACGAGATAGAGCCATGATATCGACAAGGTAGACAAAAGCAATCGGTCCAATTTGGGGGTCCATGCCCTTCTTCCATTTCGTATTTCCCCCTCTAGGTTTTAAAGGGAATCTATCACCACAGGACATAGGTCCTCATGTTTTCCAAAAGACGTATCCGCATGTATGCGCACCATGGAAGCCTGGATGTTGATCATGGGTGGTCCCCCAAATTTGGGGTGTCTTGGTTTCATTTGGCCATGGGTCAAAAGCCAAATCGTACCCCCAGTGAACATCCCAATCCCCACTAAACTAGATTCTATAATGGGTGGTGAATTCACCTAGATTCACCTACCCTAAAATGGGATCCCATTGGTTTTGACCCACAGCCATTTGGCTCGCATCGCCAGGCATTAATCCCCCGTCCGACCCCTCCGACGTCCGCTGGTTCGTTCGTCTTTAATCGCCTCCACGAGCTTCATGGAGAAGTCCGAAAGCTGCGTGGGGTGGAAGTGCAGCAGCATGGACCTCACGTTCCCCGAACGAGCGACACAGCGACGCCGAAAGCGAGCGGCTTCCCAGCGACTTGACCAAAGCCGCAGGATTTGTGGCTTGGTTAGTTCCAAAAAAAACCAAGGGGGGTGTTGGTGCTTTCTTTCTTGAAAAAGGTGTGTGTTTTCCAACACAAAACAAAGAGGTGGCCTACTCGAGAAAAAACAAAAAAACTTGCGATCGGTGCGAGAGATGGGGCCCTGCGGGAATGGCTCGTGACCCCGAGAAAAACCGTCCAACTGGTGGTGTCCTTTAAGGGAATCCCAGGTTCATTCCCTGGCCCTCACTCCGCAAAACAAACCAAACAACAAAACCAACAAAACCTCCAAGCGACACGGGCGAGAGACCCAACCCAAACGCCTGTATGGCTTCCCTCAGAAAGAATCGGTGGTTTGAAGCCGAATCGGTGGCTTGGTGGTGTTGCGGAGGAGTTTCCCATTGCCCCGAAGAATCAGAGGTTCAAATCCCAAACTTTTTACGGCATGGATCAGACAAAAATTGACCTGGACCCGAAGAATCTACCCAGGAAAAAAAGGGATTTCGCCAACAACAAGTTGGGGTTGCAGTAACCCATGTTCAAGGCAATTTTGGAAGTATCCTGAAATGTTGGCCCCGGATGATGCTTCTATTAGCGGGTGGGGGTTGCTCCAAAGGTGGTCTAAATACCCACTAATTAAAAGGGACACCCTCTAGCAATCAACAATTTGGGATATTCATCTGGGGTTCCCATTCTCAGGGATCCCTCTCTTCGAACACTCCAGACCTGGACGCCTGGGGAAATGTGTGCTTTGTGAAGAGAACGATGGGTGAGGAGAATGGGAAATCAACCCTTAGAACAACCGAAAACGCTGTTTTGTTTGTGCGTGTTGGGCCAAATACCACCCCCCTGAAACCACCAAACATGGATATGTGTTCCTCCTGCAACAGCAAAAGCTTGTGGTACGCTTGATTTGTCGTGTTTTGCTTTTGCGTGCTGTTTCCCGCAAGGTTGCGCAATTCACCCGGTTTGCTGGCGTGGGCACCTATTGCTTACAGTGACATTGCGGAAACCACTGCTTAAAGACATGGCTGTGGGTCAAAAATTGGTACCCAAAACGGCACCCTGGTAAATGGAAACACTGCCTAAAACCTGTGGTCCTGTGGCGGTTTAATTTTGACCCACACCGACATGTCTTAAACCATCAAACCAAACTGTTGACCACCTCCTGTTGGGTTCCCTTGCTCAGTTGTTCAGTGACCCTGGAAAAAAAGGGAAGACCATTTTAGTGGGGCAGCCACCCCAAAAAAAAAAAGAGGAAAAAGGGTGCCGCTGAACAACTAAGCTTTTATAGGAATTGGCAGCTCGGGGCCGGTGGTGTTGAAGTCACCCGCGCACCCGCCGGCTGACGGAGACGAGAGGCTCTATGACGTCGGAGCCGTTCTTGTGGAGGGCCAGTTCTGCCTCGGCTGGGAAGTTCTCGTGCGATCGTTGGATCAGCTGAACGGGGATAAACACCAACATGTTGTGTGCCTGTAAGATCATCAATAAAGGTTGGTTTGGTCTTATGTTAGGGAACCATCAACATGTGGTTTGCCTTTTGGTTTCCCTGTAAGATCACCAAAAAAGGTTGGTTTCGGAGGTTGGGGTGGTTTCCCATTTACCCTCTGCAGGAACCAGTGGTTCAAACTCCCCAAAACACTAATCCAAAACCACCAACTGCGGGAAACCCTGAAGTTGGGGATCTGGAAACACAACCAGCCATGCCCTTTTGGTTTCAACTTGGATAAATTGAACATGGGATTTTTTTTTTTTTTTTGGGGGGGGGGGGAAGTAAAAAGAAAAGGACATCATTTTGGGTGGCCCAAGCTTTAAAAACGCCGTTTTTGTGAAAGGGGTTTTGGTATGGTCCAACCGAAATCGCGACGTCTGTCCCAGAGAATTGGCTTCGTCTATCCCTGGTTTCTCAGAAAGGCCACTTGGCCCAATGGACGAAGCCCTGGCGAGCGCTGAAAACAGTTCCTCTGGGCGGTCCGTTTTCAGGTCTGCGGCTAAAAGTCGAAAAGCTTTTAGTGGGTGAAATGGCTGTGGGTCAAACATGGGTACCCAAAATGGAACCCTGGTCAATGGAAACCCGCGGCCCTTTTAGTGGGACCCTAGGGAAGGTCCAACCCCTCTTTAAAAAAAGAAACCAGGGCCCTCAAACTGCAACCCATGTTGATTCGGCCTGGGCAGTAGTCGTGAGCCTTTGGGCACAATAACAACAAAAACTTAAGGAGCCAGATGGCCGAGAACCACCAAGTAGAATGTAGAGAGAATGTAGGTGATCCAGGTACCAAGGCAAGGAGCAGCCGGTAATGTTTTTCTTTTTTTAACTAGGGCTGGTTTTTGTCCTTGGTTTTCCGCAGGGCTGGTAACATCCCCAGCATCACTTGGACCTGGGGTCGCCTATTGGGGCAGTTGGGAGTTGCTGGGGGCTGGTCTAAGTTAGGGGGAATTTTGGCTGGCTTAGATCTTCATGAGGGTGGGTCTTGGGGTGGTTTGGGGCATCCAGGCTGCTGTTGGGCGGATTTGGGGTTGACTTTGGTGTGGGTTGGGAGCTGATTTGTGTTTGGTGTGCTGCTGGTTTAAAATTTAGCAGCGGCTTTAGGGTGTGGTTAAGTGAGTTGTGGACGAGTTTTGGTGGTTTGGGGCAACGCCCCAAAACCGATCCGAAACGACCCTAACGCAACCCTAAAGCCGCTGCCAAACCAGCAGCACACCAAACACAAATCAGCTCCAAACCAACCCAAACCCACTCAAAGTCAACCCCACATCCGCCCAACAGCAGCCTGGATGTCAGCCCTTCGCTTCGCCTAAATCAACCCCAAACCACCCCAAGACCCACCCTCATGAAGATCTAAGCCAGCCAAAATTCCCCCTAACTTAGACCAGCCCCAAGCAACTCCTAACTGCCACCCAGTCAGAGCCAATAGACGGCCCCAAAGCCAAGTGAGGCTGGTGATGCCGGGGATGCGGCCAGCCAACCAACCAACCAACCATCCAACCAGGGGACCAGCCCTAGTTAAAAAAAAAAAAAACGGACCTAGGAAGAAAAAAAACACCGGATCCAAGGAGCAGCCACCTCCAAAACAACTTCCATGTATGGAATGTAGCCGCTTCCCTGCGCTTCAAGAATCGCCCCAATGGGGAAACTTAGCCTGCGGTGTCCACAACCCATAGAGCAATGCACCGGGATCCCTCTACGTCCCCTGAATAATGAACCCGCATTGCCACTTAAGTCCCTAACCTCAGGATGCTGGGACTGCACAACCCCTGAAATGGGTGGTGAATTCACCTACCCAAAATGGTACCATTGGTTTTGACCCACAGCCAAATGATGGATGGTCTCTGTTCCTTCCCTTCCTGCCCAATGGCTCACAACGGCCTGGGCCGAATCAACATGGGGTGCGTGTTTTTGAGGGCCCTGGTTGCGATCGCACTACTCCGTGCCACTCGGCACTACTCAGTTCTGGTCATTACTACTCAGCACTATACTCAGTACTGCTTAGGACCACTCAGCAGTGCTGAATACTACTCAGTGCCACTCAGCACGACTCAATGCTAATCAGTGCCATTCAACAGCTGCTATTCAGCGCTTCTCAGTCTATATGTGACGGGTGTGTTGCAGACATTGCAGGAATTGATTGGGTGCGAGGTCGCCGACCATTTCAAACTGAAGATCCGGGATTTCGATACTAAATTTGACACGGCAAACTTTGAGACAAAGCTACTACTTGCGAAGGTCTTTCATTTGAAACGCTGGGTGTGCACCTGCGTGGCTGAACATCTTCAGCTGAATTTCCTTCTGAATCATATCATGCACATAGCAAAGTTTCTCCAGTTTCATTGACCGTCCACACATCATAGCATCAAGCCAGGGCACTTTCGCATCATGTATGGAGCGATAGGTCTGATAAGCAGGTTTTCATGCGCAATAATTTAGCCAACTGTCAAGTTTGCAGAACTCAAAGTCCCTCAAGCGCGCAGACACTTGCAGTTTGGTCAATCTCTGTAAACTCTTGGACAGGCAGCCGTCAGATTTTTGGACAACTGAGAAGTTTCCCATTGTTCCTGGAGACCTCGCGTCTCACAAAACTTGGCAGAGAGTTGTTAGTGTACCCATTTCTGGACAATGAAGCCCGATCTTGAGTGTCAAGACTCCAGGTACCTGCCATACCTGGATGACTTGCAACACTTGGGGTGTGTGTCCCATAATAGTAGTCTTTCTTTGGGTTTTCCCTTTAAGCCGACCTCACGATAAGGTCGGCTTAAAACAACCAAACAAAAAAACAACACCAAACACCAAGCCATTCCCCACCCAGGGGTTAGCTTCTTCAGCGCGCAAAAAAATACAACGTCTGGCAAGGCGCGCAGCAAGAGATGGTCTCGCAGATCATAAAGTTCAGCGAGAACACCGGGATGCAGTCGATCAGCTGCACCAGGATTTCATGGCCTGCCGAAAGTCAAGATGCCCCGCAGTCGGGGGGGGAGCGGGGTAATCAAAACCCGATAATCGAAACCCAAGAGAGTCATAATCAAAACCCGGTAAAACAATGGTCGTAATCCCAGAACCATGCTTCAAGAATTAAGAAGGCGGATATCCGCAACTAATTGTGGCTGGGACTTCCCTTACTAACCTTCATCTACCCGGGTTTTGATTATGGCTCAAGATGCCCTGTCCCAGTCGGGGTGAGGGGGGAGGGAGGGCTCCCTAAGGAACCCGAAAGGGGCTCTGAACCACCCCCCCTTGTAACCCTTGCCCCTTGAAGGATTCCATAAACAAGTTGCCATTGACCAAAATCTGGTAACTGTTAGTGGGAGGGAGGCTCGGCAACTCTTGCACTCGCAAAGAAACCGGGAAAAAACAATACAAACAGCTTGCAAGTTGTCTATGGATTTCTCGCAACCAAGATTACCCACGAGAATTTCATGCACTTTTCTTGCGCAAAATTATGGCGACTCTCTGGCGGGTATGCCACCTCAACCACCTTCTCCCCGAGTCTATTCCCCTAGATGGCCAAGGGAGCCGGGCTTGAAACAAGCCATCACCCCGCAATCACTGCTTGTTGTACCGTACTTGGGAAAAGCAGCTGTAGGGGGGTGCTGTTGGTTGGCTTGTTGACTACGTCAAATTTGAATTAATCCGGATCTAGTCAAAGGACCCCTGAATCTAAAATAGTTTTGTTCGTTGTTAACAGGGGAACCGCCACTGATTAGTACATCCGAAGTTCAGCTGGGGATGGAAACGGCAACAAGTCCATACCAACTTGATAGCAACCTCATTTGCAATGAGATAACACACGATGCGAAACAGACTGGGGGCTACGAGGAAGCAAAACCTCACTTTTGTCAAGGACCCAAACAAAATATAGGTGACCACCTTTTGGGGGTGACCACTTGGGGTTATTCCAAAACCAGCAAACCAAAAGGCCGATTCGCCTACAGCTCGTAGGGAATAAAGCCGTGGGTTCAGGGGGGGGGGGCCAAACTCTGAAGTCACTGACTTGTGCTCCACCTGGATGGTCTCCTGGACCCCCACAGGACCAATTCCTTTCCGTCTTACCACTCTATGGGCCATTTTTGCGGCAGAAGGAAACTCACTTGCCCCTTAGGGACCCAGAAATAAAAGGTTCACCTTTTGGGGCCATGACTAAAACTAGACCAAAAAGGAAAAACCAAAAGGTCAGATCCGGTCGAGTCGCTTTGGGCAACTGAATTGGTCCATTGGAGGGCAGGCTCACGGCTAGCCGGGGCCATGGGTTGCGATTGGAGGGCCCTTGCGGTCCTTTTCAGGCCGGGACCTAGAAGTCTCCATAAGCGTCGAAAGACGGAAAGATGCAACTAAAGAGCAGCCAACCTCACCAGTCTTTTGCCTTAGGAGCCCAAGACCTTAAATATATCAGGCCTTTGACCCCCAAAGACCTGACATCATGAAATCTTGAGACTCTAGGGTTACAACTTGTTCCTGCAGGATCAAAGGCGGAAAAAGGATTCCGTCCATTTGAAGTCCAAGGCTCAGACCTCCTTTTGGTTGCCCAAGGTGATGTCCCGGGCTACGTTTCGAAGCCTTTTCGGGACTGGAGTTGCCAGTCAAAATGGGGCCATCACTCAAAAACAACAACAATAACAAAACAGCACAACCACAAAGACTGTTTTGGGCAGTACTTGGGATGTTGGACGTTGGACAAAGCAGTTGTTGGGGGTGCCGGTGGGTTCCATGTTTGTAGGCTCAGTGAGATGTTCGTAGACTCCGGTCGATTCGGATTGGGCTTGGTCGGAACGACCAACCCAAAAGAGGCAAAAAAAAAACACGGGCGCATGTTTTTGTTTGGTTGCAATACCTACCCACCCACCCTCTTGGGGAGAGTCCGTCGCCTCGAAAAAAGACAGCAACCAGGGCCTTCAAATCGCCGGCCCATGTTGCTTCGCCAGTCATGCCCTCAAGCGGGTCCGAGGGCACCCATACGACGAGAACAAACGACAAACGCACGAGCCCTTTTTTCCGATCTCCCGCCCCCCCATTTTCAGCCTCCCTACCTGGAGTCTCCATGACCCTAAAAAATAATAATATGGTGTCATTAACCAAAATAATGGTTGGTGATGGACCCATGTTTAAAGGGTCATGGAGACTCCAGGTAAACCGATGCGTCGTCGAGTCGGGAAGGCCTGAGGTCGACCTGCTGAGCTCCACCACGGAGTTGCGGAAGGCAGCAAGCAGCACGTGACGATCCTACAAGAAACCGTCTTCGGGGGGAAAACCGCAGGAGGAATTGTTCAGGAGCTGCAATTTGAAGTGAGGAGATTTTAATCGGGAAATCCGAAGCACTGAACAATTTGTTGGGGGGGGGACATTGGGGAAACCCCCCATTCTTACCATGATCTGCTCAAAATCGGAGGAAATTGAAACTTGCCCCTGCCGTCTGCTCCTTGCCCGTGCCAGTCAAAACATCCCAACGCGGGGTTGCCATTCGGTCCCAAAGAAACTCTTGTCGCCAAACTTAAGCTTTCTGTGGGCTTGCTTCCTCCAAATGGAAGCTTCACAGGCGGGGAAACGCGAGGAACACCCAGCCTCTTGCGCCTCTTGTTGCTTTTGTTTTTTTTTGGGGGGGCGGGGAGGTCCGACTCCTAAAAAAGTGCAGGCGGTCTTTTCCAAAGGAGAGTCTTCTTCCGTTTGGTGGGTCTCTCCTCGAACACTCATCCACTTGCGGATTCCATGGGGCACTTTCAGGGCCGTAGGAGTCCCTAAGCATCGGCAACGCAATTTTACCCAGAGGGTTTCTTGGTACTTCATGAGGATGGCTTTTGGGAGTAAAAAGGGGTCGTTCAGTACCCCCTCAGAAGCTACTTGGACCCTTTGGGTTAAGTTGGCAAACCTTTTCAATTGTTGGAACTGCAACGATTGATTCAAGGGAAAAGGAAAAGGACAATGGTTGCTTGCCCCAAGAGATTCATACTGGGTTTAAAACCCCCTTCGCGCCGGGAAAGACACCAATGAATGGGGTGGGAGTTCAGATTCCCGAAAAACAAAACATGCACCAGCACCCCCCCCAACAACTGCTTTTTCCATGGTTGGGGTGTGCTGGCACATGGGCAACTTGAGTTGCCGGGCCCTCCTTCTATTTGAGTCTGTCCGCAACATGTCGAGTCACACCCCGACTTTCTGAAAAGCAGGATCGAGCCGTAGTCCGGAGCTCCGACTCAGGGGCAAAGCAGCGAAAGGGAGAAGCAATACTAGACTTACAGGGGCAGGCTACTTAGTAAGTGGTTAGTAACCATGGTTGTGACCCACTTACCATGGTTGTTAGTCTCCTAATTAATAATCACTTACCCTGCCCCTTTAAGTAGGCGGGGAACCATGGGGCAGTCAGAAGCTTTCAACTGCAACTTGGACCCATGAGGACCTGTGCAACTGAAGCAAACACGCACCGAAGCAGCCTTCGCGTCAGTTGCTCTGGAAAACTAATCATTCAAAGATACGAAGATGGTGCCCCCATATTTTGACACGCATTAGCTTCCCAGTAAGGCTACCTGAAATGTTGACCCGGATGAAAATCAATGAACCTGACGTTTGGGGCTTGGACCTTTTCCTTTTAAAGGGACCATTTCCCTCACAGGTTCCATCCTAACTGTTGGGAGGGTAAAAAGCTAAACACACGTGTCACCAAATGCAAAGGCCATTTCCCTAAAGGAGAGTGGATGCCTTGGAAAGGGATCCAGGGTCTGCCAACTGTGGGAGTTGCTGTGGGGAACGAGTGAGGAGAACCTTTCATATTCTGGGGTGCCCAAAATGCGTTCCCATGAATACCGATTCGATCCGTCCATGCCAAGCTGCAGCGGATGTCGCTTTGTCGATGGCACACCGGACAATGCGACTGCCTGTCTCACCTCAGCAAAAAAAAAAGGTGATGAATCTTCTTTGGAGGTTTGGGGGGAGCCCCATACAATGTTTGCTCCAAGGTAGTCTTTTTTGCAAACTAACAGCGAAACATCATTTCGAGGCTAATCTCGGCTTTGCCTGGACCCGCCCAGAGGACCGATTCCTTTTTTTCTGCCTTTGTACCACTTTTGTATGGGTCATTTTGGCAGAAAAAAAGGGTTTCTTGGGGGTCCAGGAAGCAGAACCATCCTGTGAAAGCTAGAGGCAAAAATCCCTGCTGTATGGTAAGTGGATCTACCGTGCAATAATTCACCAGCGAGCGAACTAAACAGTGGGACATAGATGGGGTTTTGTGTGCTCTCGCTGTGTTCGGAAGGGTAGATCAACCCTCCGAAGCTCGTCCCTCCCCAAACAAAGTCTGCAAACACGCGGTCGCACGACTGGCGAAACGCACATTTTTACGTTGGCCATTGGCCAAGGGTACTCCCTGCAGATTCACGTGCGACCCAAATGGGATGTGTCGTCCCCTGAATATCAGATTTCTGCTAGTTGGTTTGATTGGTGGTTGAGCGTTGGGAGTGTCCTCCTACTTGGTTTAAAAGGGAAGAGCTTCGAATTCGCGGTTCAGAACCCAATCCACACCAAGAGATAAGGCTAAGCTTACAAGAAGACAAACACAGTTTGGACAAATGCGTTTTCATACATTGTGGACCCCCTTTTGGTTGGTACTTAACCGGAACGCAATGGACGGCAGGATGTGACCAAGCCGCCAACTCGACTGGCTGAGCCAAAAATTGGGGAACAAATTGGAATGGTCAGCCATTGGCACTCATGCAAGGTGTCAACTTGTACCCCCTACTCCAAATACCTGGTTGTTTCAAGGGTATGCAAAACCTGGTTTTGCATGGTAAATACCTCCTTTGTGAGCAAAGGGTTAACATCATGTCACATGTCCAATCATACCCTGAACAAACTGGGTATTGCGTGTAGGAAGTTATCTCGAAAACCTTCGCTAAACATATCGTATGATTTACCAGGGGCTCCTCGACTCGGCCGCACTGAAGGGTTGACGCTGCAGCACCATCTTGAAGCAAAACCCAACTCTTCAAAGTCATCGGAGCGTCAATTCCCCTTCCGGATCCGGATCACTAGTGGCAGGACTAGGCCCTTTTCGTCCGGGAGAAAAAAAACAAAACACATGTGGAAGTCAGCCGGTCTCTGTTTTACCCGATCCCCGTGCAAAAAAAAACCAGGGGCCGACTTTCCGTCCCCCCCCGCTGACCCCGCCGGAGCCGCTGAGCGCCAAGTGCCTCATCTTGGGCCCCAGAAACTGCAAGGCCGCCGCGAAGGCCTCCCGCGGCATCGCCTGGCGCGGTCTCGAGGCGCTCCGCGGAGCGCCGCTTGGGTCGGGGGCGCGGGGGAGAACCTGGGGCGGGACATGGCCAACTGGAAGACGTAACTGGGTCACTGGACCCTCAGATGCGTGAACTGGAAGGGGAACAAAAAACGCCAGAACATGTTGAACTATAGATGAATTGACGATTTGGGGAGTGTGAGGGTCCGGGAGGTTTCTTGAAGTGACTCGGGTGTTTCAATATATGGTCATTTCTTGAGACGAAAGGGTACACTTGTTGGGAGGGTTTGAAAGGGAAAGCGGAGGAAAATCCCATTCCCACCATGGGTCCAAGTCCAGAATGCTGCCACATACCAACATGCCGCACGACATTTGGAAGAGGCCTGAGATTCTAGCCTGCCATGTTCAAACCCGGTGTTTCAACGCATCGTTTATGAACCATCTGCTGGAGGGGGTAATCTGAACACAGGTGTTGGGATCATGATGGATCATGCAACTATACAGTACCACTTCTGCAACCCACCCAACGAGTATTCTGCTCTTGTTTTTGGCAGCCGGCCGCTGCACCGCCTGTGGCAGGCGCGCTTTTCGCAGATCTCCGGCCCCAGCTGCATGTGTGGGGGGGGGGGGGGGTGGGGGGGGATGAAAATAAACGTGCCTATGCTGCATTATACATTTTTCAGCGGGCGCAGGCTCACCATCACCGACTAGCGTCAAACAGTCACGGAGACATGATCAGCCTGCTTGGACCGTTTTGCTAACTCTCTCCAGCCATGGACAATTTCCAGCTCTGCCTCTCTTTGGCCTGCATCATTTTGTTGCGTCTGGCAAGGCGGGAGGATGCGGTTCTGGCGGTGAGCCCTAAACCATTCGCATACATGTTCTAGACCAGTTGCTGGATGTGGAAACTCGGTATTCCACTGGGGACCCGCACTTGCAATTTGTGCAGCAGCTCATTGTGTGCCAAGATCGTTTTGAGCTACGTTTTGATCGGCTGGCTCAGTGCAGTGGGCAGCTATTTGTGGCCTGGTGCGACAGATGGGGCTGCCTGCTACAAGACTTTGATCAAAGAGTGCAGGCACAAAAAGCTGGTGCTGAAGCAGGTCAGCCACGTCAAGCATGAGTATGTCGGGAAGCTGCGTCCGTGTCAGCCATCTGGGATGCGCTGGGCAGGGACACAGATGCTGGACTCTGTCAGGCGCTCTCTGAAGAAATGGCGCCCATCGTCCATGAAGATCCGGAAAGGCAAGACAGCTTGTGACAAGTTTTTGCAGTATGCGTATCAGTATGCTTGGCGCAAAAACGCCAAGGCGTTGGGCCGAGACTTGGCAGTGGAACTGGCCAAGGTTTTGTGGGCCTGAGGAGAGCCAGAAGAGATATGAAAAAATGTGGCTGCGGCCGCGGCAGCTGGTAAGTGATGCCAGATTGATGCAACGAAAACTTCCTAAAAGCAACATCCGTGATCAACACCTGGAAAGCCAGAAATCATTCAAACGCATTGTAAATGCAAGAATCGTGTTTTTTGGAACTGACGACAGTTACAAGGCGGCATCACGGCCGGCATCCTTGCTTTTGGGGTCTTCTGATCATCTGCGATAGTTTCTCCTTGTCGACCCCCCCTCCCTCAGATCGCTATACAGCACTGTTGACGGGTCAAATTCGGAAAACCACCATGACAAACCCCAAAAACCTGAGGGGACGGCTCAGAACCACCAAGATGCTTGCCTAGGTCCTCCAGTAGAGAGGTTAGAATAAGGGTACCCTTTTTCTGTAGTCTATTTTAGTAGGGGAACCCTCCCAACCAAAAAAGGGGTGAGAAAGGGCACCTAGCTGGGGGATCTAGTTGCTATTTTTGCCACCCGAGCCACTCCCCTACAAATTTGGGTCAACCCTGAGGCCAGGAGTCTCATGTTGATGCTCTCTGCAATAAACGGGACCGGCAATCGCGTGCTACATATATACATATATATGATACTGTAATATGGGTGTGTCTTTGTTAGGGGATCCCCTCCTTTTGGTGTTCATTCAAAACCTAAAGGGTACCCTCAAACAAAAGACACACCCATACCTCCTTCGCACTACTATACAATGTGCATGAGTGGCTTGCTGTCTGCACTTCCAGCATGTCATCCTCCGTGCAGATCCAGATCGCGAGAACATTCCCCCCCTTCCATATCCTGTCAACATACTGGGAACCCCGGATCTAGGTAGAACCCCTTGATGATTTTGATTGGGGTGTGTCCAATTCCTTTCAGTGGGGTGTCAAACCACTTTTGGAGGAAACACCCGCACAGGTTTATTAATCTGGGGTCAACATAGCGGGGGGTGGGGCAATATGGTGGCATTCCTTTCGGTACCCCCCGAAGAAAAAAACAACAAGCACACGCACCGACAGACCCTGATTGATTTTGGGCCCTGGAAACGGCGAAATCACCAAAAGGATCTGCCGGCTGAACATTCTCTGCAGCCCCACTCAAATGCTTAAACCAAAAAGGATCGATCATAGCCTCCAGATCGACCATAGAGAAGCGTCCAAGCCCCCCTAGGTCCTCCAGCAGAGAGCTTAGAGTAAGGGTACCCTTCTTTCTAGTCTGTTTTAAGTAGTAGGGGGACCCTCCCCAAAATTTTAAAAGTGCACTACTGGGGGACCTAGCCCCCTTCCTGGCACGCCTTCAGGAATTTGATGACATCATCTGCGATCTCAGCCGTGACGTTGCCTGGCGCCGTTTCGGGGCTCGGAGAAACGGCGAGAGGCCATGACGGAGCTTGGGACTGCGGAACGACAAAGGGTCCTAGGCTGCTCTGCTGGTTATTCAATGAACTGCCCCAGTTTGGATTGATGGAAGAAAGGAAGCCACAGGACAAGGAGAATCCCGTCTATGGACTAAATCCGTTTCGCATCAGCTAGGTGGCTGGTCTCAATAATCAAATCGGGTTTCATCCATCCCGACTGCGAAGTGGATTTGGTCCATCCACGGTATGCATCCTTTGCCTTGAAAACTGCCTTCGTCCGTACCCACGCCAAGGTGTAGAAGGCACATTTAGGGGGTCTCCTGTCATTTTTTCAGGGCTCCAAGGGTGGGACCAAGTAAACTAGGTAAACCAAGCATACACATGTCCCAGGTCATTTTGTCGTGGGCAAAGTCACGGATTGCTTAAAATAAGCGGCCCCGCTCGTTCCCATCAGCCAAGGGGTGCGGCGTTCGCCTTGCTTGGTCCTCTTCAAAACCTGCCTTTACTGGGCTGGTTTCGGATCCCCCGCTAAAAGTGACCAAAAGTTTAACTCTTAGTGGGAGTTCCGGTGAGAGAGCGACGTCGCTCGCCTAAATCTTGAGTGGACCAACCAGAAACCACAGTTCTAGGGGTACCTGAATCGCGCCGCTGAACGCAAGTGGAGGGTTTTGTGCTGTTGAATTTGTCAGGGTGAACAACACTTACCTTCAGCAAATCGATCAGCTTGGCTATTGAAGCTAAGCGGTTGAGCCCATCTATGGGTTGGTTTGGAACTTCATGTGGTTTTTGGAGGTAGGTACTCTGTTCATCTTTTCACCTTGGTCTTCAGCCGCTCCCACAGGAAAACCACATTGTTTGGTCCCGGTTCATTTTCCGGGATTCCTCGATTTCGTGGCAGTTCCATGTATATACCAGTAGATGCTCCTCCGGGGAAATCCAGGGACTGCCACGAGTCTTGCCAAGAATTTCAAAGAACTCTTCAAGAGTTGGTGGACATGTTTCTCCCCCCAAAGTCTCCTTCCAGTTCGAATCAAGTAAAATTCCTGCCCCCCCCATTTTGACACCATAACTCTAGGAGATAATGCCCCATTAAAAATGGCTAGTTTCAGGGTGCCGGTGCTCAACAAACAAGCCACCCCAGTTTTGACTCCCAAAACCGTAAACCATAACCTCATCGATCAGACCTCGAAAACCGAAAACGATCGCCTTCCAGGTCGCCAAAAGTCCGGCAGAGCGTGAGCTGGACCTGACGCAGGCAGCCCAAGGCCCCCTTGGGGCCCCCTTGGGGCAGGGCCCCAGGGGTCGAAAGCTGCGGAACTCCGTCGGTGAAGGGAGAGAGCATTCCAATTGCTTAAGCCCCGGCAAAACAAAGCAAACATTCTTGGCAGTAGTGATACAGCCCCTTTAAAATCAACAAGGACAAAAACAACAATATTCTTAAGCAAGTGGGAGCATCATGGGTGTCAAGATAGGAAAACCCTCCAAGTCACACCTCAAAGGTGCCCGGGAGAAAAAAACACACATGTAAAACCTAGTCGTAAAGTTGTATAACTGGGTTTGGGAAGGCCTGAGGTCAATAAGGGTAAAGCCAAGAGTCAAAGAAGGCCCTATTGAGGATGGACGAAATCCTGCACCAATTTGAAACTATGGGAAACCATGGTTTGTTGGTATTTACGGGGGAATGGTTTCTTGGGTGGTGCAGGATTTTGTCCATCCACAGTATTGGGGCGGGTAGTCTTTGCAAGGTGGGCCCCTGAATGGAAGCCTCGTCTGCAACTGCCTCCTGCGGCCAGGTCAAGTCCGTTTTTTCTCAGCGCCCGCTCATTCTTCGATTGGCTATAATTTTCTTGCCCGAAGGACCTGGAATTAAAACGTTAACCTCTTGAGGCCATGCCCAAAGGGTCCAAGTCGCTTCTGAGGAGGTACTTAGACTCCTATTTACCCCCCAAAAGCCATCCTCATGAAGTACCAAGGGACTGTCTGGGATGATACAATTCACCATAGGAAAACCAAAAGCCTTTCTGGGTCGTCGAGTCTGCCTTGTGAGCCACAAGAAGCCTGCCAAAAAGACTGCGAGAAATCTGCACATGCAGCACCAGGCGAATTATTTCTTGGCATTCGGCTATCGGCTTTCAAGATCACTGGAATTCAAAGTCGTCGAAGCGCGAGACTCGCGTTGAGTATTGTCGTGGCGTCGTTTTCGAGGCATGTTGGCCACAGATTCTAAGATTCACCCATCCCATGGATGGTTCAAAATAGTCCCCACTGAAAGGGGACTCCCCAATCAAAATCAACATGGGGTGTTGACATTAATTAGTACTTAAAAAGGTCATTCCCTACTGAGCACCAGCAAGTTTAAGGGACCACAATTTTGAAGTCCGCTTGGCCTTCACTTTGTTATTCTTTGTCTTTCCCGATTCATGGAAGCGCATCTCATACCACTTCGGCATGCCTTGTCGGAATTTGCAAAGGTTGTACGCGGACCCCAAACACAATGAAAACGCAAGTCAATGCATCTGAGCCGACAAAGACACTCTTCACACCCGTACCCTCAATGGTTGATGAAAGACGCGTCTTGTGCCCTTGTGGCATATACGTCAAAACTAGGCGGTTTGTCTCCCCAGCATGGGTTTAAAAGGAAGAGGAAAAACGGGCGGAAAACTCGCAAAGGCCATGGTTGGAGCCGAATCTTCAAAGGGAAACCATCAGCCAGTTTGCTAACCTGGGCTGTCCGTTTTTCAGATCCCCTGTTAAAAGTTGAACATGTGGGCGGGATGAAAACCACCAGTAAACCCTAAAAACCTAAAGAAGCGGATGGCTAAGCAACCGGATGGCTTAGGCACAAGTTACCCAGGCACCTTGTCAAGAGTCATGGGGGCTGCCTTTCAGTCCCAACCCCTTTCAGCACTCTCCGGCGAGCTTTTGGCTTTCAGCTTAAGCCCCAGGTTCGAGTTAGGTCATTCACTTGTCATGGCTCAACTGCTACCCCCTACTCCAAATACCCACTGTTGCTAGGTGTTTTTTAGAAAACCAGGTTTTTTGAAGGTAAATACCTCCTTTATTGGTAGCGGGTCGACATGATACCCTAAAAAAGGTGGGTGTTTGGAGTCGGGGGTACAATTAAACAACACTTTGGTTTGCCTGCAAAATGGTGACCGCGGGCCTGAGTGGCATCCTTCTCCAAATCTTGGCATTCATCTTCTCGGATGGTGGGTAGCCTCTCCTCCCCGCCCAAAATAAACGACCAGCGATTCCATTGAGCTGTATAGGCAAGCACTGGAACCACGAAAAAACAAACAGGAAAACGGCTCGTTACAGCGAAGAGCCACTAGGTGCAACTTGCTCTTCATCTGCTGGTTGGTTTCTGAGTTTCTTTCAGGAAGCCCCCGCCCCCCATTTGGAGGTTTTGCTTTGCGTTTTCCTGTTAGAGTAAAACCCACCAAACAAGGGATACCGTCAAAAAAATGAGCCACCCATTTCCCGGCAAACAAACATGCTCCTTGGAAGTCGGCCAAGGGAAGCTTCTTGCAATCCAAACAAATGAGTGCGTGTGCGGGTGTGTGTGCGGGTGCGGATGTGGGTGGTGGGTGGGTGCGTAGGTGCGTGCGCTTGGGCGCGTGCGTGCGCATGCGTAGGTGGCAGGGTGCGAGCGGCGCGAGTGCGCGGATGCGCGGGTGCTGTGTGCTGTGTTTGCTTTTGTCTGGCGAATATCATAAACGGGGGTGGCACAGCGCCGACCCAGCGTAACGCTAAGCAGGTTCGCTGAGCGAGTCACCTGGGGGGAGCATGGAAGAAAGACGCGCTCTAAGAACACTCCAGCAATGTTTGTGGAATACAAAACAACTTGGTTCCTGCACCAAAAACTAGTCTCGTGTCCTCTGACATGAACCTGACTGAGCGGTCGCGGAAAACGATTTTCCTTTAAAAGAGAGATTCAGGAGAGTAATCACTCATAATTAATAATGCCGTAGTGGTTGATCCAAATTGTGATCCACGTGTCAGTGGTGGCAGGGTTCAATGAACACCCATGCTGGGCACAGGTCGATATTTCGATGATCCAAAATCTCGGAAGGCTGGCCAAGCCGTCTAGCTTGATACACTTCATGAACTCTACCAGGGTGGGGCCAGAACATGTCCAAACACCCTTGTTTAAACATGTTGGTTTCGTGAAGGGGACCAAATAATTAGGCTCCAGGTTAAAGCACTGCAGCCACCTGCAATGAAATCATGTTGCCCCACCCAATTGTGCCAGACCCTGCCCTCCCACATAACATGCAAGCTGACTCGGGCGCCTCCAAGACTATTCTCCTCCAAACTGGGCTGTCCGTTTTCTGATCCCCTGCTACAAGTTTAACTTGTGGGTCAAATTAGGAACCCAACCACTAAACCAACTGAAACCTAATAGTCTAAGGAACTGGTTGCACCAAGTAAAAAGGCCCTTCTGCCAGCTTCCCTGTTCGTGGGAGGGAGGGTGCAAGAACATGACCTCCCCCCACTCCGTCCTTCCGGGCGCGCACGTTGCGCGAAGCGCACGGCATCGCGAGCATGGCTGGGAAACGGAAGCTGACGAGCCAAGCATCGGCTGCCGAGGGCGTCAATGCCGCGGTCAAGATGAGTTGTTTCAAGCGGCATGGGACATTTTTGTGACTGCACTCATCGTTGTGGTTGAAATTAGGTGACTCACCCTTCTGGTGATTTCAATCAGTCTCTGCTCAAGCGCCTTCCAGCAGGCGAGACGGAGCAGGCCGAGGCTTGAGGTGTAGTTTCCCACTTTGCACGCCATGCACCTTGAGCCGGACCTTCGCGCCGCACATGGCGCGTTGGTCAATGCAGTTGTGCTCGTCGCCGGACGAGGCACACATGTGTTGGGCATTTTGCCCCTGAGCCGCCAGGCCTGCCGCATTTGCACTGAGGACCCTTGCCCGGATGGGGTTGTTGCTCTCTTGCAGTTTGAGGTGCAGTGCGTAGATGACCTGGTTTACCTCTGCCAGCACAGCCTTGGAGTGATTCACCCGCATAAGCCTGCCCAGCTTCCCTTCTTGACCCAGGTCATCGAACTGTGTGCTGGCATTGCTGCTACGTCCCAAGGTGCCAAGCAAGCTGGATTTGTGCCCACGGTTGCTGTGGAATGGAGGCCACCCATACATAAGTTGCTCCGAGCCAACTTTGAAGGTGAAGCCTTGCTGGCGGACATCACATGCCCGAGCACCGTTGCCAAAATCGCCACCGTCTGCCAGGGCGCACAAAGCCTCACAGCAGGCGTGGCATGTCAGCCATATAGCCGAGGAGGAGATGGCTTCAAAGGTCAGGACCAACGTGCAGGTACCCTCCCGTGGACCTTGCTCACTTCGTACCTCCTGGGTTGCCACATAACCATCCTGGAATGCGTTGCTGAAGCCCATACCGATAGCTATGTTCAAGCTAACATCCGGCAATTTTGTGAAAGCACAGGCAGTGAGTGCTCGCAAACCGTCATGCAGCTGTCACAGGTATGGCCTTGCCGTAGGAGCCGATGGTGGTGTGTGATCACCTCCCCTGCACTAGGTAAGATCCCGCTTCAGCAATGGATCGAGGATAGCACAAAGCAGTCCATCCGAACCGTGATGCCCACCACCCCTGAGTGGCCAGAAGCCGATGTGGCACAGCTTGAGCTCGATGCCTATGAGCTCAGGAACTTCCATGAAAACTCGCCCGGCTTGCAGCAGCTTGAGGTCGATCTCAGCCATGTTTTTCCAACTGCTCTCCACTCTTGGGGAAACCAACTGCAGGGTTGCCGCTGTGGGTGCCGATCCAATGGCTTCCGCCATGAGAGAATTGAAGCCAGAGGCCTATGGACACCTCTCTTCCGGTTGGAAGGTGAACGCTGCATTGAGGGAGTCAAATGGCCCAGATACCGGCATCCGCACCCTGCAGAAGTGGCCATTCTGTCTGGCATGATGCCACTCGAATGCACAAGCGGTGACCAAAGACTTGACCTTTGTGCCGTTGGCCAATTGGCATCTCCAATGCAAAGCCTGTGGATTTTCTCGCAAGTGCACAGCTGGGCCATCAATAGGTTTGGATTGCCTCCGATGCATGCATCGCCAACGCAATTGCTTGCCATGTTCAAGCAAACATTGGTAGCCACCTGCCAAGCCCTGCTGGCACCATGCATCCCAAAGCAGATCTCCCTTTTTGGTGAATCCCAGGAATTTGAGGATGCTATCATGGCAGACCTCAGTGAGCCCATGCCGGAGCCCACGTGCTGGGTTGTTGGCCCAGGCACGCAGGCTGCCATACCTGTCAGATTCAGCATCGGATCCACTGTAGGTCAGCTTGAGCAAGCCGAATGTAAGCTCACTCACTGGACACCATCCCACGGCGAGGTCATCAGCACCACCTCGCAGATGCCAGTTGCAACGCATGAGCTCCTGCAATCGGAGCAGTGTATTTGCATTTCCGTAGGCCCCCCAGCCATGCCTGAACACCGCGGGATTTCCCTTCCAACCACACCTGTTGAAACAGGGACCCTGCCAGCCATCACCCAGCTTGTTGCAGAGGCCTCCCCGATTGTGAGCACCATGCACCAATACCTTTGTATCAGAGCCGACAATATCCCGACCAAGCAGCGGGCACACCTGGCCGCCGCCAGAGGTCCCATTTGGGCCGATGACGAGATGCATTTCCATCTCCACATCACTGCCCAACATGCCTGTGAGCAGCATAGGATCGTAGTGCTTGACCCGCTCATCACCACAACCGCCTATGAACAGGGCTCTGAGATGCTCCGCCAATGGAAAAGCAGTGTTAACCCGCAGGAGGATACCATCGCCATCACCGCGCTGCGACTTGAGGGACATTGGATCCCGATCCTGGTCCGCTTCGGTCCTTGCATCACTCTTTCCACATCAGCTTCCGGTATGCATTCGGTTGAGGCCGTGCGCCAAATTGGCCAGCTGATACAGGGTGACCAGGCGCAAGTTCTTGAGCACATCTCAGGTCCCGGTGGACCATATGGCACATGCGGCCCGGCCGCTATCATTTGCATCCATCAGCACCTCACCAGCCTGCCCAGCCCAGCCACGCCTTTCCTACAACAGTGTTGGCAAATGCGCCAAACGTTCATGCAGTACCTCGCCACCAGATCTTTCTGTCCAACCCCTTGTATTTGGGGAGCAGGCAGCAGGAGCACCTCCGACCCCATCGAGGAGGACTCTCTCGTGTATCCAGGAGCCTCCAGTACGGGACATGCTCATGACACAGCAATTAGGACATGTTGGGCAGTCGGCCCAGGCACGCAGGTTCCAACTCCTGTCAGCTTCCGTGCGGGAGCAACAATCGAGCAGCTCCAGCAGGCCGAAAGCCACCTTGCCAACTTTGCCGCCGACCAAGGTACCCAGGTGAGTGCCACGTTGTTGCCACCAGCCATTGCCAGTGATCCTATCCGGGACAACCAGCGCATCTATCTGTCCACAGCCATGTGTGCCGTTGGATTTGCACTCCCAGCTCCATAGACCACCAGCCCTCTCCGGACTTGCAAACACGCCAGCCCCACGTGCGGAATCATTGCTGCAGTGCCTAGCACTTAGGGCCCATTGCATCCCGACCCAAAGCAGGCTCCAGCTTGTAGAAACAAACGGGCCACTGTGGGCCGACGATGAGATGTACTTTCACCTCAGCCAAATCCCGCAGGAAGTTGGGCACCCGGAGTGGCTAGTTGTCCTGGACCCGCTCATACTTACCACTGCGTACGAGCAACAAGTGCCCACCCTCCGTCAGTGGACGGAAAGCTCCCAACCCGAGTTCAACACACATGTCATCACCGCCCTGCGGGTCCAAGGGCATTGGGTGCCGATCATCATCCAATATGGAGCACGGGTGAGAGTCACTTTCTACGATGCCACCACAGCGCATATTGATGCAGTGCACCAGATCGCCAACCTGCTGCAAGTAGCAGACCCCACACCAATTGAGATCGCATATAGGCCCAGACCAGTGCATCCATTCGGCATGTGTGGGCCAATGGCCATTCTTTGCATCCGTGACTTCCTTAATTGCCCAATCATGCCATTTGATGATCTTATGCAACAGAGCCGGCAAATGCGTCAGCTGTTTACCCGACTGCTGGAGGCCAAGGCCACCTGCCTTGCCCCATCCTTCTGGGGAGCAGGGGGGGATGCAGACCAGCTGCAGGCCCAACTCGCCTCAGTCCTGGAGGCCCACGGAGTGCCAAGCAACCAAAGCCATGATCGCGCACGGCTCGGATTGCATGCCATCGGTGTAACGCCAATCCAACAAGCCATCACCTCCAAAGCCCAGTGGAAAGCACTCAAGGTAGTTGGCTCGCAAGCCAAATTCCAGTGGATCCGACCGGATGAGCTGCAAGCACAGGTTGACCAACGTGCAGCCACAGGTCAGGCCGTAGGCCGGAAGAACAAGCGCCCGAACCCAAAGGAAACCGCAACCGCGCAAGTTCAGGTACAGGTGCCGGCTGCCCAGGTCATCATTAACAAGGGCACCTTTGTGCAAGAGCCGGATATCCCCCTTGGTGCTATCCAGCTGCAACAAGTGGGACCATGTGTTGCAGGTGTTGCTGTCCTCAATGAAGGAGAAGCCGAACCATACCTCCGCAACGGACGATGCATATCGTCCCAGGCCTTTGCCGCAATCGTGCTGAAGCCACTCAAAGACCTCATTAGCACTAAGCTCCCGTGCGAAGAGATTCAATTCCCTGCTATGTGCGCCGTTACGGGCGAAGCCATCATTCTACGAGGCACGCTAATCCAACTGGGAGAGAAGAAAGTCCTTCGCCCCAAGCCGGCCAAATTGTTGCAGGTTGAGGTAGTCCCCTCGGTAGCATTTAGGTTCACGGTATACCAAGACCAAATCGAAGGGGAATGGTCGGAAGTGATCGCCAAGCCAATTAGGTACATCACAGATCACGTCCCACTACTCACCTTGTGCAAAGAGCCGGCCTGCGAATGCCCTGCCTGGCATAACCAACCGAAACTCCCCACCCAAGGAGCTATCTTGGACCTGTGGAAGCGAGCTTTCCTCACCAGTGGATTCAAGCAGACCGCTCCTCAGAGAGCTGACATCTTCTGCGTGAACATTCGAATCCCTCTCATCCTCATTGATGAGATCCAGACATCCGCTGGTCAGGCTGGCATATACATGGAACCCAAAGCAGAGGATGGGCGCGTGGCCCATCCGGATTTCCAAGTCGTCTGGATACCCAAAGTATCACTCAGGGAAGCCCAGATGACCAAGCAGGCCAACCTGACCGCGACATGCGTCGCACGCAATGGAGACCGGTACGGTGTCCGAACCAGGATACAGCATGCCCAGCTCTCCACAAGCAGCTCCGGCCAGACGTTCCATTCCTGGGCAGTGCCGACCGCACTGACTACGAGGTAGGGCCTTTCCCGAGAGGCACCCAGCGCGAAGCCATCATCAAGCTGTTCCAAGAGTGGGGATGGCATGCCAGACCCATCACAGCCGTCACCACCAACACGCTTGGCACCACCTGGAAAGTGCAAGCTACACTACCACCACCGTCCTCCACAGT